CGGCAGGTCTTACGCCTGGGCAAAAGTCTTTTAACTGAAGGGCTGAAGACCAAGAAGTTGCTGATGGGATGCCCTAATTAAAGGGCAACCAGCAGCACGCTCAGACACCGGAAACGGCGAAAGGGTTCGAATCGTTAATCCGGTTGCTCGGCCAGTTCGGGGTTTCTGTTACGCAAGAGAACCGAGCGGGTATGGAAAGCAGGCATCAGCATCAGGACTGCCCTGGGCCTGGGCAGGGAACTCCCGGGCTGAAAGCAGCCGTTCTCCTAAGCGCAGCGGGACAGGTGGGGCTGCCCCGCCGGGGGCCGGGTGACCCGCGCAGTTGCAGGACAGCGCCGGGCTTGGCGTTTTGCCCCCCGTTCGGTGTTCAATTCCATTTCCATGTTAAATCTGAGAGGCGGCTCTTTGCTTCTCGCCCCTGTAGGATCAACTCCACATCAGCCGCGTTTTGTGCAGTCGCTGGCTCACATAGAAGAACAGGTTTGTTAAAGCCGGTTTCCTTGAAATAGCCGGAGTTACCCGAAAGCTTCTCCCCCTCCATACAGCAAACCATTGCGTCGCAACGTTATAATATAATAAAGGGGCTTCCAACGGGTTACGGTACAGTCCATTAAATCAATCGTCTACCCAAGCAGTGTTACTGCAGTCAGTATTTGTGTCCTGCATTAGGACTGCTGAATTTAGAAACTAAATCAAACTTGCATGTGAGAAATCTCTCATCTCCTTAAAATACCGCACAAACATCTCGGTTCCACGTCGCGGAACACCAGATAAAATGAAAGTATCGGATGAACTTGGGCATGACCAACCGTGCAAGTCTAACACACTATATACCGGGAATACGGTTTTAAAGCACCTATGAGACCCTTGTCCGGAGCACTTTCTGTTCAAAAGAAAAAGAACCCGCAAGGTTTCCTGTCATAAAATTAAAAATCAAACTCACCTCTGAAGGTTGTATCCGCTATAGCATTACTGTTTCAGTACAGAAAAGACGGCTCGCCCGTGTTTTTCTTCTATAAATCAACCCCTTCCTGTTTCTCGGAGCTCAGCTACGTGTCGTCATCATCGCCCTCCCTCGAATGCGCAGACTCGACCAATCTACCGCAGGCACAACCAAACTGCACAGCGGGATTCACCGTAGCTCTGCCCTAAACTCTGGACGTATCGCAATCAATCAACCGTATAACTTAGAGGGAAAAAAAAAGGCATCATTCCCCTTGAAGAAGTGAGAAGGCGCGATTAAGCTGTTGTTTAAACAATTGTACTTGTAGTTACACATTGGAAGGGTTTTGAAACGCTGGACCGATACCTATAAAAGATGGCGTCTTGAATCGCGCATCCAAATAACGTAGCATCGCATCAGATCCCTGTATAACATACTACAACTTAGATTGGCAGTCCTAGACAAACTACTGTTCTGAACCGGATACAAATCATTTTGGAAGGTACTAAATTGTT